ACAGATAGACAATTTGCATGGGAAATTGAACTCTTTCGTATAAAATTACTTTGTCTTTTAATCAAAGCTGCACTTGACGCACGTAAATGAAGTCATCGTCCATTTTCTGTGTTTTCCCACACTTATCAGTATCTACCGGTAATTGATACAAATAGATGCGTCAAACGTAGTATGTACCGGATTTTTTTTAGGTAAGTATACACATAAGCATACAAATTATAGGTGAAGAGGACGATGACATTTCGTAATGCCTTCTTTCATGCAATACACATAGCTTTATTATCATATAGTAAAAATGCTATTTTTATACTCTAACTCGAGATTTGACTTGATGATATATATGAATATGAAATTTTTTATAAGAATTAACGGACGGGAGAAGTATCTTTCTTTTGGGGTGAGAAGTTAAGATGACGATAAATTCGGCCATGCTCAAGACGAAGAAACAGTACGTCGCGCTAGCAAACTCTCTTGTGAAAAACGCCGCGCACGAGGATGGGCACATGTGTGCAGTGCAAACTGTCGAGAAAACACTACGGACATGGATGAGCTGAAGCACCAGATTTCGTGGGAGCTCAGAACGCGCATGTAGAATTCTTGTCCACCCTGGCAAAGGAGGCAGGATTTAGCGGGGTCTAAAATCTAACAGCTTTTATTGCCGTGTAGTGGCAGACTCTTCAATGAAGCTAGTAACAATTACCATTTTCATGAAAAAGTTTGAACAGGCGCGACTTGCCCCGAGACACTCCTTGTCACAAATGGAGATTATCTTTTTTTCTACACATGTGCCCATTGACCTCGACCAATACAAGGCTGAGTTCAATCCTGGCAGGCGGAGCGCTCGTCTCGAATATTATATCAAATGGAAAAGCTGGTGCAATATCGAAGTGGAAGCAAGGCAGAAACGCGTCGTGCAATTATGTACGACGCGCGATAATTTGAAAGCAGTATATAGTATGACTTGCAACACAAGCTCTAGTCAGAGTATCGAGTGGTTCTTTTCTTCATTGAACTTTGGAGACTCCGACAGTACATGGAAATTTATACCCTTTTTCGCGATATGATATCATCTTAGGTACAACGTGGCTTCAGCAAC